AAGGTCACATATTTTTAAATGAGACAGGAAGAGCTCTAAAGGACATGAAAATAACAAGAGTCCAGGGGGGCGCTCGATTCGTAGTCCAGGATCTCGGGGAGATTCGGAACAGCAATCGAATGCTATTTCAGAGTGTTCCGGACATCTTCCGGCTCTCCCCGCGAAATAGGTGGTGTGACCGGGGAGAGTGACGTCAACAAGATGGCTGATGTTGGAAGCATTCTGAAGTGTGCAGATTGCGGGGTGCATTTTTTCTCCCGACAAGCGTTCCTTCAGCACGAGTGTCACAAAGGTACGTTAATTTTATCCTCTGCCGAAGAAAGAAACGCCCAGGAATTATAGTCAATATCTCTGAAATAACATTTAATTGGTTTTTAGCGTATGTTGACGGATTCGTTGACAGGCACGTGCCGTGGGTTAGCAAGTTAGCAGTGTATGTTGCCCACTGTTGGCATAAAAGAACTGATATCAAAATTTTTCTTTCCCGGTAGGCTACAATATTGATAACCGTGCGTCTTAAAACTAAAACACAAATCATACACAGATACACATGTAACGACAGATTTGAAACAAATATGTTCAGAATATTGATACAACGTTAAACAGCTGAGAAATGTTTATATAAAACGGCCGAGTAGTGTTCTCTTATTTTATAGGAGTAAATATTAAATATTTATTACAATCTGTATATATCCAATTTGACCCACTGAAATTAGAAATCATATGAAAATGACTCGCTCACTGTCTTACAGAGGTATATTTTTTTGCAAGGGGGGGGGGGGGGGGTAGGAGTTGTTCTTGCAGACATTTTCCAATTTTTACATAAGTTACTTTTGCGTTTGTATGTTATGATGTCAAAGGGAACCAGACAAATAATCAGTGACCATAAAAAATGATTCTAATATTCTTTAGGGATGATGTTTATGACGTTTTTAGTATGTAGAAATAAATTGATATTACCATCAATAAAAAATTATAAATAAGCGTGGTTTACATTTGTGTAAAGTTTTTTGATATTTGACTTAATTTGGAAATATTTATTAAATAAAACAAGACCTGTTTTCTCTATTACAGCAATGCCAATGACCTTAAACTTTCTTTCTCTTTCAGCCTTGAATTCCATCAAAACTGAAGGGCATGTGACAGAGAATGATCATATCCGAACCATGTTCCAGTGTGAAAAATGTAAGGGATGGTTCTGGGATGAGGAAATATATGCAAAGCATGCATGCCAGCAACTTCATGGTAAAGATATAATATGGTTGTTTTGTGTTACCTCCATATACACCAGCCCTCACTTTGGCAGCCAGGAGCTGCCCTCTCTACCTGTTCAATAATTGATAGTAGATAAATGTTCTGTTCATTGTAAGACAACTTGTATATAGTACAATCTAACATCCGATTCTGGAACTCTGCAAGTATGGATGCGCCGGGTCACTGCAATTGTGGTGTCAGAAATATGTCATGTAATTTTACATGGTGTCATGCTATAGTCTGCCCAGTGAGATGTATTTCTATGTCATAGTTATATAGTGGATAGATATTAAAAATCTTAAAATTAAGGAGGTGGAAAATTAAAATAAACCAGGGCCAGAAAAGGGCCCCCATTGACACTTATCTTCTGATTTAAATTTTTTTCTGTTACAGAATCATCTCAGTCAAATGAAGGTGATGACAGTGCTGCTGAATCAAGCACAAGCTCATCCTCCTGTGGACCCACCTCTACTGCCGGACAAGAAAAAGGTAATTGGACGAAAGCTCAGACCAAACTTCTAATATCTTTATATAAGGAAAATGAGGAGAAGGTGTCAAACGGTCTAATGACCAAAAAATGTCTCTGGCAGAAGATATCAAATTCCTTTAGAGAAAAGACCTACAACTACACACCCGACCAGGTCAGTGGGCGATGGAAGACCATCACTCGTGCATATAAAAGCATCAAAGACCACAATAAAAAGAGTGGGAATTCGAAAAAAAATTATGAATATGAAGAAGACCTTGATGATTTAATGGGAGATTGCCCCACAATTAGTCCTGTTACTATCAGTTCTCAAAAACGAAAGCAGCCTGAAGCTTCAAGCCAAGATGAAGATGACGATGAAATAGTAGATCAAGATCAAGACAGCTCTAGCTCTGAAGCTTCCATCCCTAAAGAAGCAAGCAGGAAAAAAGTAAAGAAATCAAAGTTGTCTGAAGTAATGGACTTACTAAAATTGCATACTCAACAGCAGCAGGAGTTTCGAAAGGAAGAAGCTGCACGCAAGGATAAAATGCACAAAGAAAAAATGGCCTTACTTTCTACACTGGTGCAATCATTGCAGCAAAAAAAATGATTTTGCCAAGAAATGTCAGTTGCATTGTTAAGACAGGTCTGTCATTTTCAGAAAAAATTACGTTCTATGAACATGATGAATGCACTTGATCTAATGTTTTGTTATAATATGTATGTATCTGTTGGCAACATTTATTTTGTACCATACTAAGGAATATGTTATTAGTTTGATTGGTTTCTTATACTCAGTATATGATAAATAAGAGAAAAAAAGTCAGTCTTTGTCCATTTATATTTTATTATGATACCTGGTTGGTATGTATGATTGAAATGTGTTAAAAATGCTCTGTTCTCTTCTTTTTAAACTTGTTAGCTGGCTAATGTTACATTTAAAATTGTTTCAAAATTTCAGAATCCTGCTGCATTTGTATGGAGAATCCAGCAAACTGTGTACTGTTGGACTGTGGCCATCTAGTAACCTGCATGAACTGTGGGGGGATGTAGAAAGGTGCCCAATATGTCGGGCTGAGATAAAGAGGAGAGTTAAGGTGTTCACTTGTTAATCTGAGTCTGATTCCAAAATAGTATTAAAGGTATTACATGTTGCCAAATGGTGCTAGACAGATTTACGTGTATAATTTTTGAAAGGTGGTTATATACCCTGCTTATTTTGCAATATCTTTCCAAGGCCCTGGGCTTTTATATTAGCTGTACGGTTAATTTTGTTTTTATTTTTTGTCAGGAGATCAGACAGCATGTAACATAGTAACAATACTTTTTTTCTGAATCAGAATATTAATATATTTCAGTATAAATAATCAATGCTCGGGTAGATACAGCCACAGAGGAAATGTTGAGCTGATGTGATAAGTTTTCTTTTTTAATTTTACAAGAAATGTTTTGTTACTTTATTTGACTTTTTTTACATGTATACATACTGTTCACTTACAAATGTTGCAATTTTTTTACAATATTTTTTTATCTTTTAATAATGCCATTTTTTGTTTAATACATATACATTACTGTTAACTTGTATGTTATTTGTTTTTTTCATATTAAAACCCAAGTAGGGTAATGATTTTAATGAGTACTTGTGTTTTTTTTTATCTGAACCTATCAAAATTACACATGTATGTTATGTATCTTTCAAAATATCTCAAAGTATTATTGGGTTTATTGGGCTTAACATCCTATCAGCAGCCAAGGTCATTTATTTAAAGGATGGATGCCATTTCAGAACAATCCCTACATTGTGGACATCAAAGCAGCAGTGGTGGCATACCTATTTAACAGTTTCTATTCGAAAACTGCAGTTAAGGGGCACTCCTTCATTTGAATGGCAGAAATATGCATTTATGTTTTAAATTTATACAAGACAAACGTTTTTAATCAAGTCCTTTTAACAATCGGTGATAAAATTAGCATGGAAGTATGCAGAAAAATAATATATCTTGCAAAATACTGTCATATATATGATAATTATTGAGCTATCTAGGCCAAATGGGGAGTCAATTTTCTGGAAAAATACTTTCTATTTCTTTGAAATGAAGGAATGCCTCTTTAAAAAAGAAAAACAACAAAATATTTGGTTTCCTTCTTATGGTCTGTCTTTATATATATTATAACATAGTGTACATATATAAACCTAGAGACTGACATTATAGTTCAGGCATATGAACATAAATTTGACTGACTTTTTTAAATAAAACAAGCTGCAATTTCTTTCATAAAGTAATATAAATGTTTATGGCTGAAAAAAACAGCTATGGCAGATTTCTCACAATGGTGTTTCTTTTGATGATTCCTTCCTAATCAAGTTCATTAAACATGTGATGTGGAGCAGGGTTGATGTTTTGATCATCTCCACCTTCCATGAATTCTTCAACCTCATCATTTGAAAGAAGGCAAATGTTGTGTAAAACACAGCAGGCCATAATGGTATTAACTGCTGTTCTAACTGTATTTGTGTCAAGATTTTGAAGCCGGCGGAATCTTCCTTTGAGGAGACTGAAGGCTCTTTCAATTACAACCCTGTTTGATGAATGCATATAATTGTAGTGTCTCTGTTCCTGTGTGAGATGTCCAGTGTTTTTAAAAGGTGTCATAAGCCATCTGCGTAACGGATATGCAGCATCGCCAATAATATGATTTGGTCCACACAGCTGAAGACCTTCTTCCCATAAATCTGAGTTGCGAAGTACACGTGCATCATGGCATTTCCCAGGAAAGCCAGCAAAGCAATGAATAAAGTTCATATCAGAATCACAAACAGCTTGTAGCTGAATTGAGTGATAGTTCTTGCGGTTAATGTATGATTGAGGGTGTTGCTGTGGTGCTTTTATCTGAATATGTGTCCCATCTAATGCGCCTAATATCCCCGGAAAGCCATTTCTTTTGCTGAAATTATCAACCACATCTTGTGCTTGTTGACCAAATGGCCAACAAATAAATTTTTCCTTGAGATGATTTAGTATGACCTTTATTATTCGTGTTCTGCACATGATCACTGTTGACTCTGACACACCAAAACGATCTGCGATTTTTATTACAGTATCCAGTCCCCCTAAATACCACAAGGTAAGTAGCAACTGTGTCCTAACTGGAACGGACTCTTTCCCACCACTTCCATCTTTTTTTAATTCTGGAAAATCTGCTATACTGTCACAAAGAGTATCTAAAGTTGCTGTTGACATCCGAAACATCCTGCGGAAGTGAGCCTCACTGTATAGAGGGACCACATTATCAGCATACCCATATATCTTGCTTCTTTCAGTTCTGGATCTAGTAATTAACAAAAGAGATGAAAGTTAAAATTTTATTCATTAATTTTTTTTTTTCAATTAGAGAAAAAATAGCCTGTTCTGTACAAGTTACCGACATTGCATATTTACTTTGGGTTTAATTCCATACTTTCAATTCAAAACGTACCGTATGTCTGTTAAACACTATTCATACATACAATAACTAATTTATATTCTGGCCAGTTTGTTCAAAATGTGATTGAAAAATGTTGTTAACTTGTGATTGAAAAAAAAAATGTTAACTGGGGCTAGCCAGTAGCCACTACATATAAGTTACTTGTAAGTAAAAAGTTCGAATATACATATAACAAAAGACTTAAGTTATATGGGTACTAATCAGACTTTCTACATACGGACCAGTGGAGAGAGATGTATCGTTGGTGTTTACGCACTAAACTGAAAGCGATTCTGTAGCTGTGGATAATAAATACGAATTTCATAAAATACAAAATCTTACAATAATGCAGCACATGCATCAACGATGAAAAAATCGTCCTCGTCGTCACTGCTGTCACTGAGATTTTCCATCACTGAGCATACGATTGCCATTGTGCCACTGTCCGCCATTGTGATTTTACTACTTCCTGTGAAAGTGCATTCGATTGACACTGATCCAGAATCTCCCGGGAACACTGTTCCGGAGAGCGAATCGAGCGCACCCCTTGGTCGGATGGTTTTACTGCAGAATTCTTTAAAGTTTTTTGGAAATATTTAGGGATCTTTGTTGTACGTTCTATTAATTATAGCTTTTTAATTGATCAGTTTTCAGTTTCTCAAAGACATGCTGTAATTACTTGCATACCAAAGGGAGATAAACCTCGTCATTTTTTTTAAAAACTGGAGACCTATTTCACTCTTAAATGTAACCTATAACATAGCTTCTAGGGCAATTACACGTAGGATTAAAACAGTGTTAGGAAATATTATTAGTGAGGATCAAACAGGTTTTTTATCGGGGAGATATATCAGTGAAAATATTCGTACAGTGTATGATATCATGCAGTATGCAGAGGAACATAATATTCCAGGTATGTTAATGTTCATTGATTTTGAAAAAAGCTTTTGATTCGTTTCTTGGAATTTTATAGATAAGGTTATGGGGTATTTTAATTTTGGTAACGATATAAGGAAATGGGTAAAAACTTTTCATACTAATGTGAGTGCTTGTATTAACCAAGGTGGTAATATTTCTAAACAAATAAGCATCCAGCGCGGGTGTCGTAAAGGGGACCCTTTTGCCCCCTATATCTTTATTCTCTGTGCAGAAGTTTTAGCAGCAAGGACGAAAAGCAATGGGTATATAAGGGGAATGAATATTGAGAATACAGCAGTCTTAAATGTTCAGTATGCAGATGACACAGGGCTGATATTAGACGGGTCAGATGGATCTTTGAGAGAGTCTATTAGTGAGTTAAATAACTATGCAGCTATATCTGGTCTCAATATTAATACGAGTAAATCACAAGTAGTTTGGATAGGGAGTAGGAGATTTAGTGATACAACATATTTACCAGAACTTAATCTGCAGTGGGGTAAACATAAGTTCTCATTTTTAGGTGTAGACTTTTCCGTAGATCTGAGTGAAATTCCAAAAATGAACTTTGATAAAAAAAACTTGTTAAACTTAAAGCCCTAATTAAAACATAGAGTAGACGGTATCCGACACCAATTGGTAAGGTAAATATGATAAAATCCTTGTTAATTTCACAATTGAATTACCTGTTTATCACTCTACCTAATCCACCAGTCAAATTTATCACTCAATTAAACTCATTGCTTTTTGAATTTTTATGGAATGGTAAATGTCACAGGATTAAGAAAGAAGTTGTCATACAAAATTATATTCATGGAGGACTTAGGATGGTTGATGTGCATGCATTTATCAGTTCTCTCAAGTTAGGCTGGATAAGGAGAACTTTTTATTCCCGTGGGAAATGGGTTCAAATTTTAAAATCAATGATTGACATTCAAAAACTTTACAACTGTGGAAATGAGTATATTCTCTTCTGTGCATCCAACTGCCCTAACTTCTTCTGGCAAGATGTCTTCAAAGCTTGGGACACACTTAACAGTTCTAATTGTACAAGAGCATATTATAGACAAGAATAAGTCTTAAAAACACCATTATGGTATAATAAAAACATCAAGATTAATAATAAGCATGTTTTTTTTACTCCAATTGATTTAAGGCCGGTGTTTTTACAGTCAATGATTTATTAAAAAATGTAGATGCCATGATTTTCCTCTCTCTCTCCAAGAGTTTTCTCGCATCTTTCAAATAAATACCAATTGTTTGATACGTGCAGCTAAACAATATCTTAGAACTAAAGATGCTGTTTTCGAAACTCCATCTTTGCCTGCCATTCCACTCCTCTTGGAAATTTTCTTTGAAAATAAAAAAGGGTCAAAAGACTTCTATAACTGTATCATCCAAACAGCACCACAACCAACTGGAATTGGAAAATGGGATCAGGAATTCAACATTAATAGTGAAAAATGGAAGAAGATATGTGAACTACCTTTCTTAGTCACAAAACATTCTAAACTGCAATGGTTTCAGGTTAGAATTTTACATCATATTTTGGCAACAAACACTTTTCTATATAAAATAAAGTTAGTTGTTAGTCCATTCTTTACATTATGTAACTTTGAACATGAGACTATTGTACACTGTCTATGGGAACGTCAAGAGGTTCAGACTCTACTCCAGAGATTTGAAACTTTATTAGATGTCTTGCATATTCCATTTTCTTATAACAAAGAATCTTTCCTCTTTGGATTATTATCACAAAATTGTAACTATATTGACAATGAAATACTGCTCGTTATCAAGTATTATATTTATAAAACTCGATGTCTTCGCAATTCTCTATGCCTTAATACGCTAATCAACACTATTAAGGATCATCACCTAACACAAAAATACATTTATGATAACAAAAATGAACACACTAAACAACAGTTTGCGACTGGCTGGAGAAAATGGAAACCTATTCTAGAATTTTAATATCAGTTTGTTTTAATAAAAATTCTTCATATTTTCATTTATGTCTATATAACTATAGTTGTGCTGTTGGGATGTATTAATAAGATTTGATATTTGTATATGCTTATATTTGTATAACTTTTTGCCAAGACCTTGACATTACCTGCACTTGTTGTCTACCTAATGCTGTTTGCATTTGTGCAAAACTGAAATACCAT